GCCCCTCATCCTTATTACCTGTTTCTTCAAGCAGTAACTTTGAGGACTTCTCTGGTCGTGACTGAGCTGAGTAATTAAAAACCKTTTTCATAGTGCACTGAAAAGCCAAATCTTTGACATAGCTGTCAGCTGCAAAGTAAGAGGAGAATTAACCACCTGGAGACCAATCCTCATGGGGTTCATCTCCTCATTGCAACAAGCTAACAAGCTTCCCACTTCTGATGACTCAGCAACAGACAAGATTTAAGTCTGCCCTAAAATACCAAATGGCTTCCCATCTATAAAATTCTCGGTGCCAAGGGTTCACAGCCTGCTTTGGTGTTTTTCCAGAGTTCTGTGCATCTGTCATGTCCATGACTTTGTTAGATGTGCAGGTTCTCAGTGTTTTTGATAAATGTTTAATGTATGGGAAAGTATCTCGTAAGAGAAAGCCCAGAAATCCGGAGCAGGTCATTGTTGCACTTGTGTATTTCAAGCTCTGTCCCATCTGCTCTGTCACCCCTCTGTGCACTAAAAACCTCCTTAAATTAGTGGTTTCCTCCTCTGAGCAGCTGAGGATCCTGCACGCTCCCAGGATGGGCAGSTTTCATGGTGCTGAGCACCTTTCAGAATGAGATGTCCAGATTCTTCAACACAAGGAATCCGTTCATTCTCTTGGGATATACAGGCAGGGGAGGGGTCCATGCTGCCAGGAGAGGTGGGGACAGGGATGCTGCTAAAGGTCCTGGGCCACAGACCTGTTTCTACATGGGAAAGGGCACCCCCATCCCTACATGTTCACAGGACTGTGCCCTGTCATRGGAGTTCTTCCACATTCCCCATAGTGTGAGGCATCTCCCTCTGAGACAAGAGAAAGTCCAGTTARCTTAGAAAATCCCTGGGCAGACCAGACCAAAGAGAAAGGCAGTTAATGACTTGAATAAAAGAGACTTCCAATAYTCTCCAGGGCAAATGAGGCAGATGTTGCTCTGACCCTCAGACGGTCTAAGTCCATGTCTTGGCATTGCAAGCAGAACCCCAATGGAGCATCTTAATTTACTGCAGCCTTTTTTCAATGCATCACCATGTATTTAATGCAGCCTAGTCATCTTGGGAGGGGGAAGTATCATTAAAAGAATAGGTTTGCTTCTTCATATTATAAAGTGTTCTTCATGCCATTTAGCACAGTGTAACTGCTTCTGCACCCCCACAGGCTCAGCAAATTGTTTACTTTAGAAAATCCCTCATTTTTGCTTTCTCATCTTCATTTGCATTCATATTCAATTTTTTTWGAAAATCAAAGAAACCTTTCACATTCACTCTGACTTCAGAGTGGGTGGACTGCAAACCATTATGGGATTACAGGGAATACTGTGTTAAGGAGCTGTACTGAAGTGATCAGCCAGGGAGAACCTGGTTTGTATCAAACTGGTAATTATGAAAATCAGGTATTTGCRCCAGAAAAAAACTTCTATGTGGCAGGATTTTTGCCCAAGTGGCAACATGAGGAATTTAGAAAAACCAATTGCAGAGGAATCGAGATGTTGACTCAGCGATGAGAGAGAGGAAATTATTTCAGAGGTGTTATTACCAATACACTGTATAATTAATAAATCAGTYAATTTGCCCACCCAGGCTGTTCAGGAGAGACAGAACACAGAATCCAGATGCCTTCCTTGGGCTTCAGCCCACCTCGGCTTCTACTGCATCCATGGCCTGTCCCCTCTTCCAAAGCACACACCACATGCTTCTCAAGAAATAATGAAGTTTCCCTTTGTCCCTTCATTGTCTCCTGCACTCAGATGGAGACACAGTTGGGGATTTGGGGTTGGGATTGTGCCCATTGCAGCTGCACTGCTGGTTCTCCAGAAAGCAGGAGCTGTCTCCAGCTGGACTCCGTCCAAGTGGCTGCCACTGGCTGAGCACACGCCGTCCATGTTCTGCTGTAAAAATGCCACGAGCTGAGGTTTATTTAGCAAAGTCATTCCTCTTGGTCTGAGCTCTGAGCTACACAGCGAGGGAGGAGACGTGAATTTTCATAGTTAGGCTGGTATCAAAGACTTGTGATTAGACTGCAGAGCAGCAGCAGAACTCCCTCCTTGACTTTCCACCCCCACATTCTGCGTAAATGTTTTGAAGCTTTTTGTCACCTCCCAGCTGGAGGAACAAAGGAAGGAATCCCACACATGACTCGGTGCTGCAGAGCTGGCACTGGCCATGTGCAGCTCCCACAGTTTGTTACTCATGTTAGAAGACACCAAAAATGATGCTTGATTGGGTCTTGCCAAATCACAGTTGGCCAGCTCAGGATGCTTTCATTGCAAGGAGTCTGGAAAGCCCAAAATTGGCRATACAGAGCAGAACATTTGGCAAACGGTGTGTCATTCTTGGAGCCCAGGTCTGTAATTATGTCCTGTGTCCTCTTGAGGGGAGATGTCAAAGTTCCAGCCTTAGCAGGTGGTTTGTAACTGAGTGGAACAAAACAACAGCGAATGATGACTGTTAACAGCAAAAACATATATGTGGGCTCTGATAATATTTTAGGGTTAGGAGATGCAGATACTGGGGAGGGAACTATATGGAACCTAGATAAGTAAGCCCAGCTGCCTTGGTGGAAAGAATTATATCTTGGAAGGGAGGAAAGACATTTTTTTCAAAACAGTGCACTTACAGAATGTGTTGTGTTAAAAATGAAAAATACAGCAGATTTCATATTAACATGATTTGTTGGTATAAAAGGTCAACACAGTGCATTAGAAGGGAAGGTGTGAGACAAGCTGCATTGSGAGATTTATTTATTGGAGGCTTTACACTTTCAAAGCTGGTTTTTATCCTAGAATGTTGTGTCATTTATGGAGAAAGCAATCAGGAGCACATGCCTGGATTTTCATCCTCTGCTCCTGATTTATCATGTCAATTTGTCAAGTGATTTATTGTCTGGTCCTTTTGGAGAATAATTGCATCCCTTCCCAAAAATGAAAAGTGGTTTAGAATGTCTAGATTTCTGGTTTAGAATAGCCTCAATTCTGGCTATTGCAGCCTGACAGAGAGGTTGACTCAATGCCAAATTCTGGTTCATAATGAAGAGTAAGGGAAATGTTCAGAATTAAGGTGTCTGGGTACAAAAGGGAATTAATGACCAGCTGATATCCCTGTCTTCTGGGTGCAGAGCACAATCTGATACTTTCTTATGGGTGCATTCTTTTCACATTCAAGCCTTGTTGCTATATTTTAATAAATCTCTCAGACTGCTGGTCACTGTTGTTTGTCTTCAGTCTCACATGAGAATTGTTTGTAACACTCTTGTTTTTCTTCACATGTTTTGCACTGTGAATAACATTCTTTTTGAGAGGACTGGARCTCTTCTATATTCCAAGCACTGAAATTTTCTCCTCATCCTTTCTAGGGCAGGGAATGAAATAGCAAAGTCAGGCTAAAACCCTTCATTTCTTTCTGCAGTTACACTTTTCCAATGTTTGTTCACTCCCCCTTACTTGAGAAGGCTCCATCCTTATAGGACAGTCCTGTAGGACAGGACTGCATGTGCAGTGGTGTCACCTCCAGCACCTCCTTTCTGTGCCTCCACAGGAGCCAGGCAAGCTGTGAGAGGGGTGTTAACACACTGAAACCCCCCTGTGCTCCAGAGTCCCCCTGCTAAAACACACCYAGTGACCTGTCCCCATGAGCATCATTCTTCTGGGACCTTTTGTTGTGCTTGACTGAGGCACCTCCTCACACACATTGACCTTCCAGGTCTCTGCAGAGTGTGAATTGGTGATTTCTCCTGCAGCTGACAGTTCCTCTCTTCATTGTCAGGATTTAAGCCTTGAATGTCAGAACTTGCTTTTAGTGTTCACTTGTGTTTGACTCCAACTTTTCCATTCCACAATAATGTGACAGCTTAGAAACTGCTGCACAAGCTTTGACTATTTCTGGAGCTGATTTGCGTGTGTGCAGAGGAGTAGGATTTTATGTTGCAAATTCYCTGCAGTCTTTYGGTATAAACTAGTGTTTCTCCCTCRACAAAAGGTCATTGATAAAAACAGAGCTGGACATTTAAATACCCAATGCCTTGAGACCCACCCCAACTGCTGCTACCTCTCTGCTGGATTTATAGAGAGTTGAGTTTTAGGCTGGACAGTAAATACTAAAAATATGATAGTTTTAGCTAAGACATACATTAAATTTTACTGAGGTCTAGCAGAAGCTTTTCATARTGAACTTGCATGTCTCTGTTCCTTCATGTAGATGCAAATTTGTGTTCACTTTTGTGTAATGATGCTTTTTGGCTGTTGGAAGGTGCAGRTTGCATTAGCCCATAAATTTGGTGGTGTGCAGTGTGAGCACAGCCCTGTGTCTGAGCCTGGGACAGAGCCATGTCTTGCACAAAATTACACTTCAAACTTGGGAGACTGGAAGAGAGAATGAGCCCCATACTTCAGACATGGACATAAACCCCCCAAGTTTGAGTTCTGTTTCCCCAAATCAGATGTGATCTCTGTTTTTTTGTTCTATGGAAAACATTTCCCCYGTTCCCACTCAGTACACAGAAATGGAATTTAATACCTCCCTTTGCTGAAAGGTAGGTCAGGCATGGGAGTAAGCAGGACTGATAGGAATTGCAGAAGATTGATCACTCCCTCACCCACTGAGCAACCCTGACGTGGCCCTGCTGACTCCCCGGGGGGCTTGGGCAGCACAGCAAGGTCAGACACCCACAGATGCTGTCACTGAAGCAGCCTGGGAGAACATGGAAGGCACTGTGGGAAGAATAATAGATCAGGCAAGCAGAGCAACAGAGAGAGGAGAACCCCTGCCAAGCTGCTCACAGCATAAATTGCCCAGGCTYTAGTGTTGAAGGCAGAAGGGTGTGAGGGACATTCAGCTTCTACTGAACACACTGTTCCATTTTAAACCTCACACATGTTTGGTGGGTGGTTGTGTAGGGAATGGTGTTCCCATCACTGTTATCACATCTCTTTTTCATCTGAGTGACTCATTTTTTTGCCCCTCTCTCCTAGATCTCAGACCTGATACGACAAAGCACAAAGGAGTCCCCAGTYTGGGAGTTCCTCAGCCTGGGTTACGCGCTCATGCTCTGCCCATTTGTCGTCGTCCTGGGAGGGATGTTCTTCCTGGCCACWGCCCTCTTCTTCCTCAGTGACCGAGCCAAAGCTGAGCAACAGTGAGTAACTTGGCCATTGTGAACGGGGAGGCACCACAGCCTGTTTGCTCTCTTGAACGTTGTGCTTGTACTCTTCCCCTGGCCTTGGCCGTCCAGGTAAAGGATGTCGGGTTGTGCCTTAAGAACCTGGGCTCAGCAGAGTGCATGAGGCTGCACGAAGCACAGGGGCTTGGGTTGTGCTGTCTGGGCATCCTTTACATGCTTCTGCTCTAGTGGATCTCAGTTGTTGGCCACGTGGCTTGGAGGAGAGCACAGCCCCTTTCACCCTTGCCTGAGCATGTCACAGCCCAGGTTATCTGTGGTGAGGGGCTGCTGTGTGCTGGAACTGTGGAGTGCCAGGTGAGGAGCAGGAGGTGCTKCCTGGAGCTTGGTGGTCGAGGCTGCACCTGCCCACCTCCATCGCCAGCACCCCGCTCACCACCTGGCAGTCAGGAACATGAGGCAAGCTGTGTATGGGGACATGTGCACTCAAGGGTCGCTGTGGTAAAGAGTCTTTCCCAGTCCCTTCTTGCAGCTTTGTGAAGAAAAGCTACTGTTTTTCAGTAAAGAAACCGATTCGGATCATCTCACGGTTGGCAACTACAGTAATTCAGAAGACGCTTCCACATGACATACAAACCTCTGGGGTTAGTCTCTTTCTCATAATTGTTGAAAAATAAGATATACTATGTGTAATGTCATGCTGAWTATGTGGGTAGGTGACTAGTCTGGTGTTGATAGTAAGTTGCCTTTGCCTTTCCCCCATTGGAGAATGGGAGCCTTGGTTTACCTTAAGGAGAAGAGCCCTGGAGTGTCACTCTAGGCATAGTACAGCTAGAAAGAAAATTAGGTGTTTGGAGGTTGACATAAGTGTGGGAACAGTTTGGTTGATACTTTCTGGCTTACACTCTYGTATCAGATGGATGCAAGAGATTTKGAAGCAGTGTCACAGATGGTGCTGTGGCCCTGTAAGAGCACATCCTTTTTCTAACATACATAAATACCAAAGAAAGGAGAAATTCCCCTATAATGTTTAAACACTGTGGAAAAACAAGACCTAATATCATAAGGATGGAAAGTCCTACAGAGTTGAAATTCATTGTGGCTTTGGGGACGTGACATGTGTGACTGGTTTGTTATCTGCATAGAAGGGCCTCAAATGGCAGGAAGAGAAGTTGGAGATTAGATGCTAGGAAGCACTTCCTAAGAGAAAAAAAAGAGGTAAATGCTACAGCAGATGATTTGGGGAGGAAATGAGAGCTGTCCCTTGTTTCTGATGGCCTCCCTGGCATGGCTTGAGGCAGGGAGGTGGGATCTGCTCTCCAGTTGCCTCCCAGCCCTGTTTCTGTGCTTGTGCAGATTACCTGTACATGCCAGTCCTGGTAGTGACCACCTGGAAACATGGCAAGATGAACATAAGCTTCTGGGTGCTCAGGGTGGCTTTTTTGCTTCAAGAAGCCRAAAGTCCTATTTGGTGTCAGTGCAGCAGATGAAGCCCCCTCTCTAGCATTCACCTTTGCTCAGGGCCGTCACTTGATCCTAGGAAAGCTTCAGGGTTTGTATTTCCTGTGTTCAGAGCGGAGAGTTCCGTTTCCAACTGTGGTGATTTGTGTCCCTTTGCCATCACATGTGCTGCCAGCGTGGCATGACAGCACCTCAGGTGGTGAGGGAGTGGCTCAGGATTCAGYTCCAGGTCACTCCCATTTTTTCACCATGTCAAGCATACCTGGGCTTTTATGCTGGGCAGGGCACTAGGGTATCCAGCTGTTCTCAGCACCAGTGGAGATCCCAATGAAGAGGGTTTTGGTCTGCTCAGGAGGCAGTGCAGGTCTAGGCCGGTCAGTAGCTGGGTCACTCTGCTCGGCTGCCAGCACTGGTGTGTCTTACACAGTTGTTTTGCCAAAACCCCAGCTTTGCAGCAGTGTTCATGTGGAAGGGAGATCACATCCACACGTCTGCTTACTCCTGCACTAAAGGGATTATTCCTCTATTGCTGTCTACCTTGAAGCAGCTTTGTTTGTACTCCATCCACATCCAGAGCAACTAGCCTCTCAAAAAGCCACTGCTCCACTTTTGGAAGAAAAACATTCAGATGTCAAACCTGGTTTTGTTTCTCTTTCTCTTTTAGCATCTTTCCCTTTCCTGACTCACATTTGTTTATCATCTTGTACTAGTCACCAATCTTTTGTGTTGCAAACTGAGGAGAACAATTGTCATAAATAATGGTTAACAACATAAGTTCTCTCAAATGACTCCTAGGGAGGGTACTTTTTCTGGGATGTGCCAGAAAAAATACCCTGGCATCCTGCAGTGAGATTCCTGGAGTGCAGCTTCATTCAAGTTACTGAGAAGTGAGAATGAAGTAAAAGAGAAGGAAGGTTGGACACTGAGGAGGGACTGACATGCAGCAGGGTCTGTGCTGTCCACTGGGTCCTATCTGCACCCACTGGCAGCTTCAGTGGCTCCTCAGAATCTGTGGGGAGGATTTATTTGTTAGTAGCTCCATTCTTGCCTGTGAGAGGAAAGGTAATAGAGCATTCTGCTATTAGCAGCTAAAAACTCCATGCTGGACCCCAGATCCGCCGTCCAGCCCCCACCTCCTGTCAGACCATCTGCACTTGGCATCACGCACCTTTGGCAGAGGATGTTTTCTGCCCAGCCAGTCCTCCCCTCCATCCTACCTATTACTTGCTGGGTACAGAGGAATTTCTATTTCAGGATGCGCTGTTTTCRCTCTGCAGTCAGTCCTGCTGCTCAGACAACGGGAGTTGGAAAGGGGCTCTGCCAAAAGAAATCAATTAACCTGCGGGAATCACAAGCGTGGGTGTCACACGCCAGAGATTAAACCCATCCATCACCCCTGGGGTCAGGGCACGGGGCAGGTGTCACCCACCCCTCTCGTGAACTAATATGGAAGCAGAGAAGTGGAACACTGCTCTCACAACCTATGGAAACTGAGCTGTCCCTGCTTTAATTCCCACAYGTCTATGAAATGTAGTTTAGGGATTTATTGCTGTGATTTCTGTGTTTGTTTGTTCCTTTGTGTAACCGTCTCTGGGCATTTGCTTAGAGATAATTTCTTTTTTCAGGCGGGGCAGATACCCAGAYAGCAACCTCTCTTTCCTGTAAAGCTTCCTCCAGTTTCCACCACGCTTCCTTTCAAAAACAGAATTTCCAGGCTTCCACACTACTTTTATCRCTGCCACAATTCCTGGCATATTTTGTACTTTTTTAGCACAGGAATTCCAGTCAACAAGGCTGCCCCTCTCACAAAACACTCATGAAAAAGATTCTTTCTATTACAATTCTTTTTTTTAATGCAATTCTTTTATAACCATTTTCAGGCTGTTTGAGAAGTCTGACAGCTTAAAGAGGCTTTTAGTAAATTTAGTACTAGCAGAGAACATGATAGAGTACATCACTCTCTGCTATAATCCAATCATTTCRGGGGCAATTTTTATAACAAAAATTTAATCCCACCCTTCCAAAGTGTGATAAGAGAGAGAAAACATTTAAGAATGGGTTCTGTGAGAGGTCTTAGGCACTAACAGTGATAAATACTTCAATTCTTTTTTAAACCACTCAGCTACAATTCCTTCTGTGATTTCACATGGTGGTGTTGTTCCTTTCCTGATCTGCACCTCTGCAGAGGAGGGTTAAAGCAGTTGTATTTTATTTCCAAACATGAGCACTCTTAATTGTGCTTCTATTACTTTCCTGAGCAATATTGGTGAGACCTGAGCTAGATTTTATACCCTCTGGAAAACAATACAGTCTGGCCATGGCAGAGCCCTTAGAAATGGATCAGAAATCTAGTAATTGCACTTTTATCCTCAAACTCCATCACAGGTACCTGTGCAGCCCTGGCAAAGAGCTGTTTCCAAGGTTGGGAGCACTCCAGGTGCTTCACTCGATGGAAGTAAAAGCTCAGCACTGCTGAGAATTTTGTCTGTGGTTTGTGTTCATCCCCTTCCACACTCACAGTGCAAAGAACTGGGACAAACAAAGCTTCACCCTGGAGAGCTGCAGAAGAAAAGCCTACATTTGGTAYTTGCTAGAAGCTCCATCAATAATTAGGAAAAATGTGCTCTTTWTATTATGAAAAGGGGTTCAAAAAAGTCCTTTTCCCAAGCTGTGAAAACTTTCAGCTGCCAGGGATATAAATCACTATAATTAGTGTGTATCAGGATCCTTTCCTGGGCAGTGAATGCAGTGATCCTGTCCCCAGCCCCAGCCACTCCCAGCTGCTGCTGAGGGAAAATCAAATTCACCAGGATTCTTCCTGAAAAACTACCCTGTGCAGGTGTGGGATACTCTACTCCTGAAAGGATTTTGTTGTTTTAATTTTTATTTAATATAATCACTGTTTTTACACCTGAAWATATGAGATTTTCTGGTTTTTTTTTCCAGAGGTATGAAAAGATGCTTAGGGTGGRTGTCCAAGTTTTATAATGGCTCAATCCCTCTCTGCATGACAGAGGCTGGATAGTTTTGCCAAGGATACGGCAATGCAGATCAGGCAGCAGGATGCAACTGCAGTGTGGATCCCTGGTGCAGCCTGAGCAGGAATAAACAGCTGCACTAATGCAGCTGGTCAGAACAAAGGAATTTAAGTTTTCAACCAGTGACCACTCAGCACTTSAGAGCTGTGCAAGCCAGATTTGTTCACCCCTTTGCTTACATGACAAGAATCASGTTATTTAAACAACTCAAGTGGGTATTTATTTTCTCCTAAAATTAAAATTAAACATTTAATAAGAAAAAAAAAGTCAACACCTTTGATCAGGTGTGGAAGCTCTTGCTGAGGAGAAGTGCTGGTGAACATTTCATTTTAAAAGTGGTGGGTACAAACACTAGAAAGAAAATATTCTTTACAGAAGAGGTAGCAAAATTCACAAAAAGAACCATGCCTAGTCCAGACATCTCTTCTGCTATCTTAAACATGGCACATCTGCAAATTACATTACAGGAAAAATGAGAATAATCCATTTTCAGGCTCTTTCTTCTGCCTCACATCAGGCTTATTTTTAGCCTTTTGCAGAACTGGATACAAAATGATCTCCCAGTTCTCCTATTGCAGCAATTTGAAAGTGTCTGACCTTATTTTTGCTTTGCAGATTCTATTATGTGGGGCAAGGGAAGGACTCACAGAATTGTCAACCCTCTCTTTCTTTGATTTTTCTGAGGCAGCAGTTTGAGACAGAAAAGATCCACCAGGTGACCTGATGTTGTTGCCAGCAAAGCTCAGAGTCTCCTCCATTAACAGTTTCCCAGGTATTAAAGTGGCAGCTGAGTGTGCTCCATTCTGGCAGTTTGCATTGCCAAAAAGAACATTTCTTCTCTGAAATAGCTGGAGATGTATCACAGGGTTTTAAGAGGCTGGACACTTTATTTTGGAGAGATGTCTCAGTGCTGCATTGAGGCAGAGTTTGGATTTGAGGATTTTAGGAGCTGCAAGTGGATTTTAACAACTCCCAAAAAGGGATATTTGAGAACAGTTTGCTTACTGCTGATACTCAGCTGCTTAGGGGGAGGAATATAATTGCTTTGTTTGTTTTGACCTTACAAAAGAACAATAATTAAACATTTCCTACAGTGGTAGAAACTCACAATGCTGTTTTAGGCCAGATAAGATGTCCTTGGCCTT